GATGAAAGTGTGACTAGAATAGAGTCTCCGACAGGTCGATGCCTGGAACCGACTCCCCAGATAAAAAAATGATGCGACTTATTGTGTTCGTAAACAATCCTCTGCAACCAATTACCTTCCCTATTCATGCCTGGCGCAGAACAACCTAGGTCTGCACATGAACTCCTTCAACAACATCGACCAAAGTTGTTAGAACAGAGAATAACTACTCTATCCACTCACAGCCAAGGCTTCATTATCTACATTGTCTAGATAATGTCTTCCACATTTTTAGTATTTTATTGACTGAATTTTCTGTTAATTTCATCTTATGCGAAGACTGGTTTGATGGAGCCATTTCCCAGCCTCAATTGGTTTTAGCAGATCTTATTGAAGCCTTCTTCCCTACGGCCAACTACACGACAACATTCTTGAGAAACCTTGCGAAGGCGGCTCGTTGGGTCCACACATGAACTTCAACAGCTTCTAGTCCAATACAACAAACTCGTTGGATCAAGATGCAAAGACCTGGAGATAGCTTCAAAATCTCCAAGTAGAAATGATGGAAGTGAACCCCATTCATAAATCCTCCTCTATTTCTGTAATTGCCATGCCTGGAACCAACTCCTCTTCCTTCACCGCTAGCCTTGCAACAACACTAAACCTTCGTTAAAACCCTCCTCCCTGAATCACCAATTACCAGTTCCCAACTTCCCATTTCTACATATTCCCTTATGAACCAAAAAACAATACACAGGAAATGGCTTCTCAATAACAACTTCGACAGTCTCCTTCAAAGCCTGATGAGCATATTGCAACCCCTAAAGAGGAATCGAAGCTCGCCAAAGAGGAATCAAAACTCGAAAAGGAAATCATCCGCATCATCCTCAACGGCAAGACCGAAACCCTAAAGCCTAATTCCGGCCAATCTGTCACGATTGGCGACCACCACATCTATGTTGATTTTCATGAAGTTGTTTTCTTCGGCAAGACGAGCCATGAGATACAGAGAGATTGCCCAGCTTACAGGAGAGGGATGAAGGGTAATATTGTTTTTTCTTTTAAATTATACGTAGGTGGTGTCACGTTTGTATCAATTTTGACAGGGGGTAGAACTAGCCAATTGTCAAAAACAGTAGGGGTAGTTTAAGATAATATGTAAATAATAAGGGTATAGTTTGTCAATTAGCTAAATAGTAGGGGTAATTTAAAAAAATTGCCCATAATATTTAAAGCTATTGAACACAAATTTAATATATGACATGCATATTTAATATGAAATAGTTTACTATTTAAATATGGTTTTAATTAAGAATTTAAAATATTAATAATTGAATCATTATTACTAGCATTATCAAAACTAATAGGAAAAAATTTATTTTTATTTCCATAATTATGTAAAGTATTTAATATACTTGGAGCAATTGCTAGGTCATCAATATGTGGCCATCAAGTCTTTGTAAAACTTAAAATTCTTTTTTGTAAAAGCCAATGTTCATCAATAAAATTCCACGTAAATAAATACAAACTTATATTATATTTGGAAGCCTAAATATTTGATGCAAGTGCAATTTTAGAATTAAGAGTCGATAAAGTAGAAATTAAATTTTGTTTACATGAATTAAAAAATTTAAAGTGTATGCTCTAATTGTATTTCTAGATATTTTTTTATTTTTAATTTGAATTTACTAATTGTTGTAAAAATCTTTCTAGCATAATGTTTTTAGCCAATAAAAATGGTTGTTCAACATGTATAATATATTTAGCTAATTCTTATTTCATTTTTTCTTGATAATATTAAAACTTAGCAAAACACACACACACACACACACCCACACCCAATTTATGATTGATTTTGATTACCATTAATCTTTAGATGAATGATCATATGTCTAGACAAATGACTAATATGTACCACTCTTGTTATACTTTTTTTCCCTTAGTATTAGTAATAAGAGTGGCTTTAGTAGTGGCATTAGCCGTAGAACCACTAGCACTCATATTGGTGTTGCTGTACTGTAACTCTTTGTCCTCAAAGTTGAACATGTTGGAAAAGGGATTTTGAGAGTAATCAGTCATTTTTTAGAATTTGTATTATTAAAACCCTAAAACAATGAAAATTAATTACAATATATTGACTACGCAGGTCTAGAATCCCAACTTGGTTTCAATTGATGAAATTTCTGAGCCTCCCAAATTAATAACCTAATATACTTGAGCAAGCCTTCAGATTGCGGTATTGAATTTTTTTTATTTCATTTATATGTATTGAATTTGTTTTTTTTTTTTTATTTTTTTCCCTTCCATCAATTATGTCAGCATAATTTAAACCTTAAATTACAACAAGTTAATTATATTAATTAATTTCATTTAACTTTATCATAAGTGGTGGTTAGAAAAACTTTAGCATAAGTCGTAGCAAAAGAAAAAAAATCTTCAACACAAGTCATTTCAGCAAAGAAGATGCGATTCTATTAATTTAACAACTTTATTATTTTTGTTCTTATATTTTTTTTGTTATTTCCTTTATTTTTAATGTTATACTAACATCCTTAAATTTTTTTTTATGATTTTAATTATTGTTTAATGTGAGCAATAGAAGATGTGATTTTTTTTTTTATTTTTCCTATTTTTATCTTTGTTAAAATATTTTTAATTTAATCAAAGTGAACTTAGTTCAATTAATTAATTTATATTTTTAATATTCTTTCTAATATTACTAATAGCTTGACTTTGATATTTTTTCATTATTTTCTATTTTTTATCCTTTTTAAAATACATTTAATTTAATGTAAGTTGACTTGGATCAACTAATTAATTTATATTACACATGGATGAAACTGGAGAGGGGATAGAAAGAGATAGAGAGGATATGTGGAACACGATGAATCGATGGAGCTTGGTGTCAAGAGAGAAAGAGAGGTTGATGTTAAAGAGAGAGGGGCTGTGTGGTACCTGATGGGGCCTGGTGTTAGAGAGAGGGGTTGTGTGGAACTTGATGGGGCTAGTGTTAGAGAGAGAGAGAGAGAGGGTTGGTTGGGGCCTGGTGTCAATGGGAGGGTTTATATGGACCCGATAGGGCCTAGTGTTAGCATATATTTTAATTTTTTATTTTAGTGAAAGTTATTTATTTTCTTTTTAATTAAAAAGACAATTTATTTTTCTTTGACAAATTATTTTTCTTTTTGTAATGACTTTCAATCTTACAACCCTTGAATAATATTATTTATTTGAAAACTATTTATCTTCTCATGGCCTATTGCAGGGCCCTCAGCTAGTATATGTATAAAAAAATGTCCTATGGGCCTATGCTATGTCAGGCTTGGCTTGGCTTTTGGCCTATGATCTTAGAAGTTTGTTATATAGATGTTCATCTATTCTGTCCTATATGAATTTACTCATCTTAACTCGTGAATATATAGAATATATATTTAAATATTTCTATAAAATTAAATAAGTCATATTTATATATATTTTATGTAATATAATACAATTTAGTATAATACTAAATTGTATTATGTAATATAATACAATTTAGTATGCATATTATATAATAAATATAATATTTTAAAATATAAAATGTTGCAAGCTGGGCTAGGCCGGGTTTGAAATATTGGACCCAGGCTCGGGAATTCCCTGGCGAGGCTGGCCAGGTTTTCAAGCCAGGCTAAGAAAGATCAACCCTAATTAGGATTGATGTGTGAGCAGGTTCATTTGAGCCTATGGGTGGCCATTTGTGACAAAAAAGAAAAAAAAAAGAAAAAGAAAAACTAATGGTTAGATCCGAGTTTTATCCCTGTGGATGGATCTTTTTGGTTATTTGGAAAACTATTAACATTGAATATTGTATATTTTTTTTCACATAATATATTGATCAATCGTTATTAAAAATAAATAATAAACATAAAATTATGTTTTTACTTAAATAATATAGGACTAATAATAAGTTTTTATTTTAAATTATATTTGTATTTAATTAAAATAATTTAGAAACATGAAAAACACAACATCGAAGAAGCAAGACATGTTAAATAAGAATAAGGACATGTAAAAGTTATTAACTTTTAGAAATAGTGAAAAATGACAATTAATTAATAAAGTAATTATAACAACAATAACTCAACTAAAAACTATAGAAAAATAGACATTTTAAAACTAATGAAAATATGTAAAATAAAGAAAATTAATGTTAAAATAGCTAAAAACAATAAAATAATTAAATGATTAGGAATAAATGTCCGGAAACTATGCAAGTAATATAAGTTAAACAATTATCAATTATTTACAAGTGAATTTAATTTTTTAACTTACAAAAAATATTAGTTAATTATTTAATTGATATAAAAATAACAACTTAATTAAATACTATTAAATAATTATAAACTAATAAAAACACATTAACATATAAAAAATTATTTAAAATAATAATAATAATAATAAACTCTGCACATTGTGAAAGTAGGACAACCCTGTCTTACATTGGGAACATCTCCCCAAAAATTAACATAAATGTAAAGAAGATATTCCCAAATGTATGATTGGATGGCATGTGAAAATAATTTTTTCTTGCAGGAGATTGGGGTTCAGCACAAATAGATAACCGGCTTTGCTCCTCAGCGCTCCTCGTACCAATCTCACATCACATGGAGGCCGTGCATTGGGAACATCTCCCGTCAAAATGCACGGCTAAAATTGCAGTAAGATCGATTTGTGAGGAGCAAAACCGGATTCCCTCAGCGTAAGCAAGGGGTTTTTAATGATGAAAAAGGTTTACGTCAACACTCCACGTTCTTCACTTCTCTACTAACGCGGAAGAAGGTTTGAAGATTCTTGGTCTCCTCCCTTCTCTGACTTTCTTCTTCTAAGAAGAATAAGAATTGGTCAGCAATCGGCCATTGGACCTTCTCTCTCTCTCTCTCTCTATCCGAACTTGGCATGACCGAAGACCAGTCTATGTAGAAAAAAAAGTACCCATTTCTATCAGTCAAACTTTTCTCTCGCCCCTATAATATATCTCCCTTCCTCTCAATTTGTTCTTCATTCAATTCAAAAACATACTCCACCTCTAGCTTCCCCTCAGCTGTTCTTCCTCGTTCTCCCTCTCTCTGCAACTATATATTCCAAAACAAATATCAAGTGCATCCGTATCCAATTTTAGCTGTTCTAATTAGTCTTATCCTCCGATTTCCGTTTTCTTTTCTCTGAATTTCGTTTCTTGGGCTACTGAATATAGCTTCAGCAACAAACCATTGACAACTTTAGCAGCCCCGCTGAAGATAGATTGTCTTTCATGTTCCTGGGTTCTCGTTTCCTTGACTCTCCAATTTGTTCTTCCTCTTCTGAGACTGTTGCTGGTGCTGCTGCCGCCGCCAATTTGACAGTTTCTGCTTCGTTAACTTCTCTTCTCACTCTGAAATGTCTTGACTACTCTCGTTCCTAAAATGAACTAAAGTTTTCCCACAAATTGAGAATCTTAAATTACCGGCTTATTTGCACCGACCCGCCGGTGATACTCCCCGTCACAAATTAGTTGTGTTGGATATTCTAGTTCACGGTATAACCATGGAGAACGCCGGGAATTGGGAGAAAAATGCTTTGCTGAACGAGCTAATCCAAGGGAGGGAGCTTGCGCTGAAGCTGCAAGTCCTTGACTCATCTTCGTCCGCGGAGATGCGCGAAATGTTGGTGCAGAAGACACTAACTACCTTTGACAGGGCTTTGTCGATACTGAAATGGAATGGGCTGGAAACAGAGACTCAACCCATGGAAATTGTCGCCGGTGGCATGGTTGACTCCCCGCGCTCGGATAGCGCAAGCCCGAGAAGCGATGATTCAGACCGGCCTTTCAAGGATCAGGACCGAAGAGAGATCTCAAAGAAGAGGTACTACTTACTTAAAAAACCTCTGCTTCTGTTAAACGTGTTCATGAAGGTTTTGCATCAAGGTGCTGATCCTGGGTTTTCCCAAATTTGCTGGTTGCAGAAAAGCATTGCCCCGGTGGACGGAACAAGTGCGCATTGGATCGGGGGTAGGACTTGAGGGGCCTCTGGATGGCTATGGCTGGAGGAAGTATGGCCAGAAAGACATCCTTGGAGCTAAATATCCAAGGTGAGCAACACACTCCATCTTAACTCTGAGTCTCTGCTCTGGCTCTGAATATCAGTTGCTTTTGAGACTTGATCAGTTGCAGTAGTTGGTAGGAAAGGGCTCCTGGATCTACCCAAAAATCAGTGCTCACTGCTCAATCTTAGATACCCATTTCGCTTTGTGTTAGGGGGAACTGACTCAGAGTCTCGTCTAATCTTTGTCTGGTCCAAAACAGTTAGATTGTTTGTGGAAATACAGACATACACATTGAACGGAATCACAAAGTACATGTGGAATTGCTGTATTTCGATTCTGTTATTCGTTTAATTTTTTGACCTGGCAAGTTCAAAATTAGTCAAATCAAACCCCCCCAAAACTTAAGTCAACACAAACAGTCTATCTGGGGATGCACACCTGATAAATAAAACAACAAGTTTCTCTTTGCTTTATTTTTATATTTTTAAAGTTTCTCTTTGCTGTGCCTTTAATTTGTTGTCCCTTGGATTAAATTGTTGATTACCCAAATCAAGATGCCACCTTTTTGGCTTTAAGCCTTTAACCAATCAGTCCAAAACTAGAAGCTGCTTTTTGGACCACAGAGGCCATAAAAACAGAGTTTCAGGGCTCAATGCCTTAGGCTTGTGATATAACAAACAATTTGCAAAAGAATATTACTGAGCGTATGGGTTAATGTCATTTTATGGGTTTCACTCAGTGGCCAGGATTGGCTGATATGAGATGAGCTAATTTAGGCGTATTGACTACTGCAAACTTTCTAGCATCAATGATCTGTTTCCAATTGTCCTAATTAAAGATTTGTTACAATTGCAGAGCCTATTACAGGTGCACCCATCGTAACCTTCAAGGCTGTTTGGCCACTAAGCAAGTGCAAAGATCAGATGAAGACCCGTCTGTCTTCGACATCACATACCGAGGAAATCACACATGTAACCGGGCATCCCATCTAGTTCCAGCATCGACATCTGCTGACAAACCAGAGCAAAAACAGAACCAAGATCATCTTCATCCACAAGAACTGCCAAACCAACAAAATCAAATTCAATCACAAGAGATCCTCTTGAACTTAAATACTGGACTCAATGTCCAAACCAATGGCTTAGACTCTGGGGAGATGATGTCTTCTTCTTTCTCCTTCACTTCTACATCCATTGGATGCTTAAAAACTGAGAACCATATCTTCTCTCCTTCTACACTTGATAACAATTTTATGGGCAGTTATTCTCCTTCCTTCATTTCCCCTGCAACATCCGAATCCAACTACTTCTCTATGTCGCCCTGTCGAATGAACAGATTACAGGGGGGGCATAATTTGCAGACTTCGGAATCTGATCTCACAGAAATAATCTCAGCTGCTACTTCAGCAACGAATTCTCCTATTGTGGACTTGGATTTCCCCCTTGGTCCTGGGGATTTTGACACTAATTTCCCATTTGACACTTCTGGGTTTTTATTATGAAGAAAAACCAATGGTATAATAGAAAAGAAAAAGTTAAACACAGATGCTCTTAAGTGGTTGGCACTGGTGCAGTTGATCATAGATAGACTATCCAGGAGGGATACCCGTCTGTCAGAGTTGGTACATGAAAGAACCTCCTTTTCGTGGGTAGATGAAGATCATAGCTGTGTAGCAAGTATTTTCTTTTCCTATCTTTGTCTGATCTTGTACAATTAGGTTATTTGTAACCTATAGAATCGGCTGATATTATCTAATCTTATTTTGTCTTCAACTGGATGAAAAGTTGAGTAATTGTTTGTTGATTTTACATTGTGAAAGACCCATTTATTGAACCTCCCTTACCCAAAAAAAAGACCCATTTACAGAAGTATTTGGGCCTTAATGGCTAGTACTGTTAATCCCAAGAATTAATTGGCCATTCACTCCTTGACATTATATGGGTCTTGCCTTAAAAGTTACATATTGAAGAACCCAACCACCTGATCTAAGGTAGGTTATATATAGCTACAACGGGGATCAAGGTTGAGTTTAATTAAATGAAGTTTCTCGGACATGCAGATAGATAGACAATGAAAGACTGCTACATTAGCAATTATTTAGTTTCAGTTTGAAGAGGGTGTAAATACAAATATGTACATTACAAATACATACACAATACAAGGTTTTGCACCAGTTCGGATCTCCTATCCACACCTACTCAAATGATATTGCAACCACACAAGAACCGGACAATGAATCGTTCAGGGGTCTGGCTCCTGGGTCGAATGGTCTGACCATTTGAGCCAAATGGATGGCTCATTTTGACAAAAGAAATAAAAAATTAAAAATAAAAAACAGTAAAAAGCTGCTAGATGGATCAAATGGTTTAACCACTTAACCACTTGGGTCAGCGGTTTGCAGACCAAATCAACAATTTTTGGCCAAAAAGACGATTCTAGGGTAAAACGGAACCAATCAAATGACGGGTTTCCAGTTTTTCCGGTCCAACCATCCAGTCCAATCCAATTTGAAAACCATGCAACCACACTTGGGGAATATTTCCTATTCTTGTATGTTATCATGCATGATGAGATGTTCCCATTGCATGGTTGCAGAATGTAGTGTCATGTGGGTAGGTATGGGTAGGAGATCCAAATTGCTTTTGTACTCTTAATATTTGTATTTGTACTCCCACTCTGAATCTGCTATCCACAATTGTTCCCACATCTCTACCCACAGAACACTGCAACCCATCTCCCCATAAATGACAAGGGAGATATTCCCATTGCACATGTCTGGTGAATAGGAGTGTGGGAACTTGTGAAGAGCAGATCTGAGCCCTTGTACTCTTTCCAAACTGAACCTTAGGCTAAGTTTGCACTGAATATATATGTATTTGTATTCTTTCCAAATTGAGCCTTTGGGAAAATTTAGGCCCTGTTTGGTTTGCAGTAATAGGGGTCTGGAATCAGAATGGACTATTTTGATTCCAAATCAAATACTTGGTTGGGCGGAATGAAACCCCATTCCCATTACTATTGGAATGGCATTCCCCCATTTGAAGGAATGGTCATTCCCTATCTCTCCTTTGGGAATGAATTCCCATTCTTACTGAATTTAATTTCCACTCCCATTCTTATCTGAATCAAACAGACTATAAGAATGAAAACATTTCAATTCTATTTTGAAAAATTTTGATTCCAATTTTGATTCCGACTGAGAACCAAACGGACATAGTCATTGGATTTGCATTATATCTCCTGATTTGTGCAATAGGTTTTGAGAAGCTTATTGAATCTTCTTTGACCCTAATAAATGGTTAATTAGGTGCTTCCCATGACTAAGTTGAAGGTCCAGCAAGGGTTGTGTCTTCACTGTCGTTTGAAAGAAAATATGTAACTATGAATGAGTCCAATCTCTAGAGGCTAGAACTGTCCATTGGCTTGATTAGTGGAGTTGCCCAAATATTTGACTTGACTCAGTTTGTTAGCCAATTTCTTTGAATTTGCTTCTGGAAAGTGGAAGCACGACATCCTTGCAATGATAAAACAAGTGTCCTCATTGACCACCCACAACCAGAATATGAGATATTTGTCTTGGGCCTCGAACCATTCAAAATCTATCTTTGTGGTAATCATTTGCTTCGACTGTCAAAGCTTTTATCAATAATCACTTTCCAACTTCATTTGGCTAATCGGTCAAGTCTGTAGCTTGACAACTCTAACTACAATCTATGACATGAAATATGTAGAGTTTTCTCATTCATTCGCCTTTTAAAACGGAAGCAATATAAATAGAAATATGTAGAGTGAAAATATATATACAAAATATAAGAGTTTGTATAGTATAATCTGTATTTCTAAATTAACCCAGCAGCTGAGATGATTATTCTTAGCATTCTTCCAAATATGGAGCCCCCGTATAAAACGCATATATACCTAGGAGTTCTCTGTGGCAAGACGAGTGTACTTTAGATTCACCTGTCCTCACCCCTTAGATGGTATTTAGAAGCATCGGTGCTTTTTGGGATCGATTTTCAAGAAAAAATGTTTATGTTTTCAAGACTTGTTTTTTATAAAAAAAAAATGTTTCTGCCACATAGGCAGTGAGTAATACTATGTTATTTGGTAAGATGATTTTTATTACTGTTTTTCATGTATGTATTGATAGGTAAGTACCACATAGGATACACATCAGTCAACCGTTGGGGATAATGATTCACCGATGCATGAAATGCCAAATTTGACGTTTCATGCATCGGTGGGGTCCCGATTTACTAGGCATGCCCGATTTTCAATAAACGCCTGAACCAAACATTCATATATATGGGCGTTTGTTGAAATGCCTATGTGGATCTGACATGGCACTGTTTTTTTGAAAAACGGCCAGCTACAGTTCCAAACATCCCCTTAATCATCTTCTATAATTAGGAATGGCAATATGGTGGGTTCAGGGTATATATCATACTTCTCATTCCCAATCCGGATTTTGAAATAAATTCTTGTCCTCAATCCAATTTCTGCTGGAAATAAAAATGACCCTCCATCCCTAATCCTCAATAAAGAAGAACTCTCCATCAGTGATCCAAGTCCACAAAATTTTTAAATTAACTATATTTTAAAAAAATAGATTTACTTAAATTAAGAGAAATTTTTTAAATTATAAAAATATTTTAAATATAGGTAAGGAATTCACTCTCCATTCCCACCCATCCTTGCCAAAGCAATCTTCATCCCCCGCTAGATTAGGTCAGGGAACCCAAGTACTCGGTGGAGACGGAAAAATTGCCATTTACCATTTTGTAGGCTTCAAAAAAATGTTGGATTTTGTATCATCATTTAATTGGCTATGCCCATGAACTAGGTGATCAATCCACAAAGGTAGGGCATATTTGGTTTCTAGTTCAAGCATTCAAAACCCTTGAAGGGCATTTTTGTTATTTTCCCTTCCTGTTAAAAAAGTTAACAAGAGAATCATTTAATAGGTTTTTTCTTTATTCTATTCCTTTTTTTTAAATTATAGGTTTAAGGAGTACGTGAGGTTTTGGTATTTATAAGAAATATCAGGGAAGGTTGAAAGATTTAAAAAGAAAAATCTAGTTGGTCAAGGCTGTCCTCAGTACTCAGAAAAACTCTTCTGATTCAGGCTTCTACTATGTGGGATGAGAGGATACATTGCTGAGGCAATGGTAGGGTCTTGAACTCATAAAATGAGACAGAAGATTCCTATCCAATGGTTTTTATACAAGGCACACAATCCTTAGCATGAAATCAGAGATCAGAATATTTTATGAATCTGGGAAAAATTAGGGCTTGATGAGAGGCCCATCTTCCGGATACTATCTGAGCGTTGTGTTCAGGATAAAGGGGGATTTATCGGAACAGCATTGGATTATCGAGATGAACCCATCTGGCCCATTTACAACTGCAGTTAAAAAGACGCCCCAAAGAAAAGGACTCCGTATCTCCAGCCCACAAGAATTCTACCTATGGCTATCCACAAAATACTATCTTTTCAGTATTGAAAACATCGTTCTATGTATAGTAACATGTAAGAGGATGAAATATTCCTCATATTATGTGGGTAAGTATAGATAGAATTGCCAAAAAAAAATCGATTTGAAGAAGAAAGCCACTTCACAAGCCAAGTGACTCAACAGGAGCCAAAGCACATGCTTCTGAGGTATCAATTAATTTATTGTTGTTGTGATCTGGCATCCTATGCAGATTTAGATGAAATCCCTACAGAGCATGCCCAACATGCACCCTAAATCCCACCGAGTTCGGATCTCCTACCCACGGGAATCCTGTCCATGTCTACCCACAACACACTATCCCCCATGAATTGGGAACATCTCCCCCTACATAATACTATGCAGAGGATAAGATATTCTCCATATATGGCTGCGATAAATATGAACAGAATTTGTATGAGCAGGAGATCTGGATTCACATCCCATACCCTCCATGAATTAGGAACATTTGTCATACTTTTCTTGATGAGATGTTTTGAATTCACAAGGGAGATAAACTGTGGGGCACGCTCTCTAGAGAGCCCATGCCCATGCCCATCCGAGCTTGGCACCACATATGGGCTGAAGTGAATTTTGAATTCATGGGAAGAGTTCAGATTGGCCCCCACAAAGCGCACCTCACATGGGGAGATGTTCTCATGCTGTCATGCATGGAAACATAGAGCCCATCCAAACTTGGCACTGCATATGAACTGGAGTAAATTCTGAAATCTGAATGATGGGAAGAGTTTGGATGGGCTCCTCAGTCCTCCCAAAGCTGCACCCCTACATGGGCAGACGTTTTCATGCATTGGGAACATATTCCATGCTTGTCATGGGAAAACATTCCCAATTTATGGGGGATATGAATTTCTGGACAGAGCATGCCTCACATCAATCTCACAGCAAGTTTTAGTCGTGCATTGGAAAGTGGAAACATCTCTCCATGAATAAAAATTTACAATCTTGAAGATGTTTCAGATATATGGCTGGAACGTGCTATGAGGTCGATGTGAGGCATTCTCTATGAGGAGCAGATCTGAACTCTATGAGAGCCCATTCCATCTATGTGGTTCTACGTCCTAACAACAGTGGACCAGGTCAGTATCAATGTTTTCGAACCGCTATTGATCCAAACAGTTGAACTATCTGACCCGAAAACTATTCAAACAACCGATTCCATTTTACTCCAAACCCGATCCCTGAATTAAGGGTAACTGAAAAAAATGTAAAGCATTAATTAAGTACCATCCGTTTTGTCTAACTGTCTTATATCTCTATCAAACGCCAATCAACGCTTGGTAACAGAGAAGAGACAGAAACATGGGACATAGAAACAATCATTAATTGAGAATGCCCATCCTCCTTCCGCACTGCAGACTCTCTTCTAATATCTTCCTTGTATCATATTTATACTCAAATCCAATATCAATCAGTTTTGTAGAACCGAACCTGATACCTCCTCTCTCCGGTCCTTCCATAAATCTGAAATGGAATTCCACAGCAATCTAATTAGCTTGAGAAACGAGAAAGCATAGACCTGAGAGAACGATAAAAATTAAAGGATATGGAATAAGGTCTTACTCTCTTTGAACACTTAGTTGGGGATTGATTTCCCGGTAGAGATTGGCCATCTCTGCAATTGTAAGGCAGCCGGTTGCACATAAAAACCTACCTTGGATTGAGGGTTCATTGATGCAGAAGATGTGTGCTTCACAGACATCATCAACGTGTACTATGGGAACCGAACCCAACAATTCATGTAAAAATAAAAGGGTATTGAATTCATCCAAGTTGCCTGTGAGTTGTGAGATGAGTACTCCAACGCTCACAGGTATGTAAGAAAGAAGTGTTTCTCCTCCAACCAGGCCGCAGGGAAGAGTTACAACTTCCAATCCATCGCTGCTCTTGTCAATATAGCTCAATGCCTCCTTTTCTGCTAGTGTTTTGGAATGTGTATATGCCTACAAACATCACCACTAATCATCCATCAATTACCAATTTTAAGACATTGAAGGCTTCCTTCATTTTACGGTATGTTATATATCTAGGTTATCGGGGTAAATGTATATAATGACATTTTTAGCGACAAAAAAATTATTATTAAAGGGGGCAATTTTGTCCTATTCAAGTTTTGACAACTTCACTCTAAGTGAAAAAAGTTGTTTATCCACTGCGAGATGGGTATCATCATTTACCCATAATATCTAGGAAAAATAAATTTCCTGTAGACCTCACATAAATCTGAAAAAAAAACATGAGGCTTTTTGCTAATAAGAATCAAAATCCTATTGACTAATTTTCCCCTCACAAAATCCAAAAAGCTAACAGATTGACCTAAAGTGAACCAGTATCCTTTTTAATGTATGTGAGAGGAGAGTTTGGCTTTCACAGAACAATCCTCATGTGTTAAAAGAAATACAGTCAGGCCAGGAGTGAACTCACCAGTGTAAAGTCGTTGCAATATGCAAATGAGAGATTGGAAGGAGTCCAGCAGGACTCATCGATGCAGCATTTGAAGCCGGTACTATCCTCTTTCAATGGTGATGCAGCCATTACAGAAGCAGTGTAGATGAGACGCCTCACTGTTCCTGATCTTACGCAGGAATCCATGATGGCCTTCACCCCAGCCACGGCTGCTTCTGAGGTATGTTTGTACTGTTTCAACAAGTTTTAAAATATTGTGCAAAAATGTGGTCGTGAATCCATTGGTAATAAGAAACTAAGAAAATTATATAGAAAATAAAACAAAAAAGCACAAGATTTGGTTGGGCAACCTATCCATGTTCATGGGTGTGCAATTCAAGATATGCCCCAAGCATTATATAATTTTAAAAGAAGACAAGTGGGTTTAAATTTGAAATCATAAATGGGCTTCTGATAATCATTTTGATTAGTGGGTTTTTAATAGCTACTTTGTTAGTGGGTTTTAATTAGAGGTGTAAATCGGGTTGGGTCGCCTGCAGCCTGGCACGATTTTGGACCGGCTTGGCCGGACTCGGTATGACGGCTAACAGGCCGTGCCAAGCCCGGTATGGAGGTCCATGCTGTGCTGCACACGGCACGACACGAAGCACGGCCCGCGAGGCCCGTAACGGGCCGCGCTCAGCCCGCTTGGGAATATAGCCGTTGGGCCCCCCTCCCAAAGGGGCCCAATGGCTAGTTTCAGCTTTTGGGGGGGTTTACAGAAATACCCCCCAACAGCTATAAACAACCATATTAGGGAGGTATTTCTATATTTTGCTTATGGGAGGTTGAAAAAATGACATAAATGCCCCCCAACAGCTATAAGTAACTTCATAATGACCAAAATACCCCTCCCAACAACTAAACAACAGATAGTTTTTTGGGTATTTTGGGCAATTGAATTATGTTCAATTCCTATAAATAGCCCTRTCCTCCACCAYTCTCATCACACCAATTCAACAATTCTCTTAATTCTCTCTCTCTCTCTCTCTCTCTCTCATACTCATACATTCTCAATTATCTGCAATCTGAGAAATTCTAATTAGTTGATTGTCTGATTCTGCATTTCCAATTCTCAAGTCTCAACTTTATCGAAGTTTCGACTTTCAACAAGAAGAAGGCTTGCTCAACCAGCTCAAGTATCTCAATGCGAGAGGCTTGAACGTTGAAATGCTTCAACCATTGAAATCAAGTTAGGATTTTGAACCGGCAATCCGGGTAAGTCGAATTAGATTAATTTTTATATTTTTAGAATTAAAAAAAAATGACTGACCCTTCTCAAAACCGATTCCCCAACATGTTTACCATGGATGACATTCAATCGCATCACAATAGTATTAGTGTTAGCACTGATGTGTTTGATGATGATGGAAGTGGAACTCTCACCCCTAGTAGTAGTAGTACTATGGGAGAAAATAGGGCTTCTAAGTTGAGTAGCCCAGTTTGGAAAATTTTCAAAGTAGATGATATTGAGGGGAGGGGGAAAAGGGTCGTTTGCCAAAAATGTAGGAAAGACTTTAGTTATTGTAGCAAAGGTGGTACGGGTCATTTGAGCAAACATCTGCTCACACATGAGTGAGAGGAAAATGAAGGGAGAGAAACAATGCAAACACAGATTGGGAGGGGGACTAGTTTTGGTACTTTTAGATATTCACAAGAAAAAATGAGACAAGAACTTGCTAAGTATATTGTACATGCAGAACAACCATTTATGTTAGTTGAAGATCCAAATCTAGAAAACTGGTTGTGTAGTTCTGTAAACTCACAATATAAAAAAGTTTCTAGGAATACTATAAGAACTGATGCTTTAAAAATTTTTTATTCATATAAATAAAATTTAATTTCTTTATTAGCAAATCTTAATTCTAAAGTTGCAATTACTTCGGATTTTTGGACATCCAAATTTAATATTAGTTATATTTGTGTTACCRGCCATTTCATTGATAAAAATTGACTTTTGAATAAAAGAATTTTAAGTTTTACTAGGCTTGAATGACCACATAGTGGCCTAGCTATTTCTGCAAGTATTTTAAATACTTTGCATGCTTATGAAATAGTGGCCTAGATATTACTTCTGTTAGTTTTGATAATGCTAGCAATAATGATATAAACATTTTATATTAGATGTAAAGCATAGGTGGAATTCTACCTATGCTATATTAGAAAGTTGTATATCTTATAAACAAATTCTTTCTGATTTTTATAATTCAAAAATGCATAATGATATGATATTTGAGGAAGACTGGGAAATGACAGTCTGTATAAAAGATTTTTTAAAACATTTTTATAATGTAACAAATGAATTATCTGAAATTTATTATCCAACTAGTTGTAATTTACCATATCAATTAATGGTAATTAGTGATTGTTTTGCCAAATATAGAAATAATCCACAATTTCAAGGTATTGTTGAAATTATGGAAAATAAATTTAAAAAATACTGGGAGAACATTTCTCCCCTTTATAGAAATAATCCACAATTTCAATGTATTGTTGAA